ATACGTTGTCTATATATTAAAGTGCAATTAATATGTTGGCTATATAAAGTGTAATGTATATACATATACGTCTATATGTATGTATCTTAGTATAAAGAAATTTTTACATTCATCGTTTTAGTGTAATCTTCATGCTAAAAAACTTTAATACGATGCATGAGATGCAGATACGTATTCTAATTATTGTAACCATGATAGATGCACGGTTAATGCTCATTTGGATAAAACTTATAACGGAAAATAACTTATGGGCCAGGGCAGAGATATTAATAATCGAAAAATGATAAATAATAAAAGAGGTATCACAGTTAGGGCAGTGCTAAATAGTAATCCAGTCAAACTGAAAGGTTGGCCGGGATACTGGAAGCCATATCTAAAAGCCTGGAGGCGGGCAAAGGACAAAATAGAGAACGCTATAGAAAACTGGCCTTGGAATAAAGCTGACATCATAATAGCAAATGTCTTGGCGGAAAACTTTACAACTAAGGACATGGTTAATTTTTTAAAAGAAGAAGCAATACAAAATATCAAAAACCGAAGCCAGATAGTAGATGGCTTACCAGGAGATGCCTGGGCTTGGATGAAGACTAATAAGGTATCGAACAATAAAAAGGACATATAATGGCGACTACAACGTAAAGCCCTGCCTTTGGGACGTAGGCTCAAATATATAAACTCAGAGAACTCGGGTGTGTGTATAGTTGGTGGTAGAATTAATTTTACAAATAATACGGTTACGGCACATGCCGTATTTTTTGCCGTAATTGCTGTGAGCTGTAAAGCCGTAATGCTATAATGCAGAAATATCTATCTACTATAATACCGTTTGTTAAAATGCTGTACTGTATTATGTTTGATTTAGTATATGTACTGACTATGAAAAAAGGGCTTGTAAGTCTAGATTTTATTTTGACTTAATGTTGCGGTGCTGCACGATGTCATGTGACTAGTGATCAGATACATGGTGATCGAACGTCGTGATCTAATTAATGCGTAATTCATATCAGGTGATCATGATTTAATTAAAAGTATAAAATGTTTATACTTGATAAGAAAGTTTGTAATAAATCAGTGATGCAAGCACATATTAGTAATTAAATATATTAAGGTATCGATCCTAAAGGGAGATACCAGAACTTGGTTCCTGATATCTCTTTGGATTATTCTTAGTGAATAAACTATTTTATCTTTGTGAATACAATATCGGTGGTAGTATCTGGTATGATACTCTAGTCATCATATATTAGCCAAGCGAGTGAAGATTGATAGTAAAGACCCATGAATATACAGTAGTTTAGATAACTCCGTGACACTTAAATGTCATTATTTGTTTTTTTGACCAATTAGACCATTCTATAAGTCATTGTTTGAGAACAACTTTAGCGAGATAATTGATCAGAAA